CAAGGCACAAATCCAATCAACCCTTGAGATAGGGCTTAGCCTTCAGGTTTAGGATAGGGGCTTAGGGTTACTTGGTGGGGAAGTCACTTCCATTGGTTTTAATTGCTAGAAAGACTATGGCAGTAAGGAGCACCAATGGTCGGGCGGTTAAGGTGTTGGGCTGTCGACCGCTCATGTCCAGGTTCGAATCCCGGAGGCGAGCTTTTGGTTTCTCCATACAATCGTGTGCTATCTCTGACTTTGGGTCCCCTGAAACGCCGATGGGAGAAGGCAAACCTCCGTAAAGACATTGGCTGGCAAACCCTCAATCCTAAAAGGTGCTGTGTGGCAAGCCCAAAACCCTAGAAGTAGAGGCTGAGTGCTGGTTCCAGGCTTTTAAAAGGGTTCAAAGTCTGGATTCCTGGACTGCAGGCGCAGAACAGGCCCAGAACAGGCCCAAGCCCCAAAAAGGAGAAGTTGCACGGCAGCCCTAAACCCTAAAAGGCGCTGTGGCAAGCCCAAGACCGTGACAAAACAACAAAGCAGGCCTGGGTACTGGTTCCAGGCCCCTAAAACGACGACAAACAAAAAAATCCACAACCCGCCAAAACACACGCTCGCTTTGGTTCCTGCTTTCGCTGAGCCTAAGTACTGGTTCCAGGCCACTGAAACGGTGGCAAGCTTAAATGATATGCAGTGTGAAAGGTGCTTTGTGGCTTGCCCAAAACCATGACCATACAACAAAACAGAGGCTGAGCACTGGTTCCAGGCCCCTAAAACGGCGGCAAGCTAACAACAGGTTCCAGGCCACTGAAACGGTGGCAAGCTTAGTGTGGCCTGCCCAAAACCACAGGCTGACTCCTGCTTCTAGACATTAGGCCGGACTTTGGACCCTCCAAAACCTTGATTGGAAACTTACAGTCCCTGAAATGCCGAAAAAGGAAACGGTTGCCAACAACAACTGAGGAGGGGTTAAACCTTAAAACCCGAGAAGGTTCCAAGGTTAAGCAATGCAACCTAAACCCTTCACCTTTAAACCTTACAGAGGCTACATAGGTACTGCTTCCAGGCTTTTCAAACGGTGGCAGGTGAGATCCTCAAGCCCTGAACGGTAGTCGGCTTTTAGGGGCTAGGTCATAGACAGTGACTAGTGTGCTCTTGCGATGCCTGCGCAGACCTGGATTCGCGCTGGGTAGAATCTAGAAGGGGTTTGGGGGGAGTAGAACGTCCCGGAAGCTTTGTGGCGCATTGCAGCATGAATCACGCAAGGCACTCTTCCTGTTTGATGTGTCAAAAGCTGTGCCGGTGCTTGTTCTGATACTTCAAAAGCAGCGACTTGGGGTGTACAGAGGGGCCCCGCGACTGTTTAAGGCAGTCACCGCTGGCGAGCTTTCTGAGAAGGAAAATCTCCTGTGTCCAGATCCAGAGCAAGCTTCCAGTCCCCTGAAACCCTTGCTTGACTAGCTTTCGTGTGACAAACCAAGCAAGCAGGGCATGTGCAACACCAATAACAACATGTGTACTCAGAGCCGTGAAATACATACGTGGAAAACGGATTACGTGCTAACCGGCCGGCACGTTAACACGCAAACCCTACCTAGATTGGGTTTAGGGTTTAGGGTTTAGGGTTCAGGGTTCAGGGTTCAGGGTTTAGGGTTTAGGGTTTAGGGTTTAGGGTTTAGGGTTTAGGGTTTAGAGTTTACGGTGTAGAGCGCGCAGACACACGCGCCCAGTTTGTAGCAGTGGCATGAACCGACGCAATAATTCCGAACCCTAAACCCTGGCGACAAAGCAGAGCAAGACAGGGTCGGCGCTTGGCATTAGAGACTCCTCCTCAGCATGGTTTGGGTCAAGGCTCTACTGTTTCGTACTTCTGGAGACCTTCCAACCACACCACCTAAATCAACAGGCTTCGGAAGACAGTGCCTGTCTTTGCCCTTATACCCGAAGCCCTACGCCCCAAGCCCTAAGCCCTAAGCCCTGAGCCCTAAATCCCAAACCCTAAACCCAACGTGTGATCAAGCCTGAGGAACCATCTGGAGCTGGACAGCCATGGCCCTGGTTGCTGTCAGCCCTAAATCCTATCCACACTACAAATCCTGTAAACCCTATAAACCCTGTCCTGCAAACCCTATGCACCCTGAGCAGCCCTATCCACCCTGAAAACCCTCTAAGCCCTGGAAACCCTATGAGCCCTATAAACCATTAAAACCCTATACGCCCAAAAGAAACCCCGCAAGCTCTATAAACCCTATGCACCCCACAAGGCCACCCTATGAACCCTATAAAGCGTGCACACTAAAAGCCCTATAAGCCTTACAAACCCTGTAAGCTCTATAAGCTCTATAAACCCTCTAAACCCTATAAACCCTATAAGCTGTAAGCCCTTAACGCTCATCCTGCTGGCTCGTAGTTGTAAGGTTTGATGGGCCCTTAGTCTGGTCTCTTATCCTTGCTTAAAGAGACTTCAGGGGATCATACAATGTAGACTGTATAGAAGGGTTATATAGCAGGGGACTCAAATTCAGGGCCCAGACGTCGGATCCCCTGTTAGCAGGGGAATGAGGGTATTCGGGTATGTATAGGGGGATTTAAGGCGCCGAATTCCTTCACTCGCTAAACAAACCGGCATATCATCAGGGTTTAGGGTTTAGGGTTTCGGTTGTAGGGTTAGGAGGTTAGGGGTTCTGGGAGGTAAGGGCTCTAAGGGTTTAGGGTTTAGGGTTCTAAGCCCTAAACTGAACCCTTGGTGGTCTAGAGTCTACGGAGTTGTGAGAGGGAAGCCTGAGATTGAGAGAGACCTCAGCTCAGGGTTTAGGGTTTAGGGTTTAGGGTTTAGGGTTTAGGGTTTAGGGTTTAGGGTTTAGGGTTTAGGGTTTAGGGTTTAGGGTTTAGGGTTTAGGGTTTAAGGTTTAGGGCATCAAATTTGGCCTACGGCGTCATATCGTCGCTTCTCTAAATCATAGCTTCTGTAAGGCCGCCCCGAATATTTTAGGGCACCCCCAAAAGCAACCCTTTAGGGGGTTACTAGTAATAAGGGGGCCCCCTAATACTTAGGGTACGCCAAAAAAGGGACCAGAATTTTAGAGAAGTGATCACATGAAGAACTTATTCCCCTTTTTTGTTTAGGGTCTAGGTTCCCTTAGAACCCTCTTTGTATTCCTAGGTTACCCTTCGGTCTAGGGAACCTGAGACAGGCTTAATCCACCAGCTGGAGGAGGAGTGCATGCTCCTGCCGGAGACTCGGAGGGTCACTCCCCTAAGCCCGTTTAGGGTTTAGGGTTTCGGGGTTGAGGGTTTTAAGAATTTAGGGTTTAGGGGTTCAGGGTTTGGGGGTTTGAGTGTTTAGGGTTTAGGGTTTGGGGTTTAGGGTCTAAGCCCTAAACCCTAAACCCTAAACCGCAGAGCTTAAGTGACCTTCAATCTGTCCCCGCAAAGCCTGTTTTGAGGATGTGGGTTACTGTCTGGCTCGTGTTTACATGCGACCTTGCAGTATTGAGCCAGGAAACTGTCGCCACCTAAGACCACACTTCTTTTTCCTGCAAGGTCTCCACTTCTCATACAAACGAATTATCTTGGGCCAGTTGCTTTTCGAGGTTTAAGGTGTAGGATTGAGGGGCTACGATTGGTCAGGGTAAGTTACATGGGGTACGGCCCCTTACCTTCTTTAAAGGTTTCTGAAGCATTGGCCCTGGGGTTTTACAGGGTATAAGAGGTATATAAGGGCTCCCCATTTAAGGGCCCACGTGAAGGGACCATGCAACTACCCCTAGAGTAGGGTAGGTTCACGGTGGCTGCTTGTGCCACACCTTGCCATTGCGATTTTGGCGCGCGAACATCTCAAGAAGCTGACATCCTGCTTTGACCACAGAGCAAGAACCCTAAAACCCAAACCCTACACCCCAAACCCTAAACCCTAAACCCTAAACCCTAATCCCCTCAAAGCCCAAACAAAACTTGGCACACTGGCGCGCCCTAGAACCAAGCTCCATGACCCTACAAGCCCTAAACCCTGAAGCCCCGAAGCCCAAAGCCCCACTAAATTCGGACATATGACATTATAAGGTTATAAGCACTTAAACCCTAACTCCCAAGCCCCAAAACCCCGAACCCCGAACCCCAAACCCCAAACCTTACAATCTCATTTGAGGCTGGAGCTCTGTGGGGACTTTCGGGCCCGCGAAGCCTTCCGGTACCTGCCTTGGGGGTTAGGGTTTAGGGTTTAGGGTTTAGGGTTTGGAGTTTGGAGTTTGGGAGGTTTGGGAGGTTTGGGAGGTTTGGGAGGTTTGGGGGTCAGGGTTGAAAAGCCTAGGGTTGAGGGTTCCTCTTTTGAAGGGGTGCCCTGAATGTGTAGCGTCGTCATTGCAGGGACACAAGGAGGACCATCATTTTTGCGATTTTAGGGTACCCTAAATTTAAAAAAAAAACCCTAAACCCTAAACCCTAAACCCTAAACCCTAAACCCTGAGCCATGAACCTTAAACCCTGTTTAGGGAGAGCGACCACATGTGTTGGATCTAAAGTGACTACGCCCCGAGGTATTTGGACGTCCCGAGAGCTGTTCAGGCACGCGCGGTGCAGCTGTAGAATGCCGGGACATTCTCAGCCCTTCCCATAAACCGGTTTAGGGTTTGGGGTTAGGGTTTGGGGTTTGGGGTTTGGGGTTTAGGGTTTAGGGTTTAGGGTTTAGGGCTTGGGGTTTAGGGTTTAGGGTTTAGGGTTTACGGGCTAGGGTTAGGGTTTATGGGGTTTCCGAAATTAGGGGTACCTTAAGGTGAGCCTTCTATATCTGGGGGACTGCGATTCGGAAACCCCCAAATATTCCCGTTGATGTAGGATTTTGGGTTTAGGGTTAGACGATGCAAAGCAAGCATCTGCTGAAGGGGGAGGGGGATTGCACTAGCTAGAACTATAGTCGATCTCTTTATGCCAGAGAAAGATCATTGCGCACCACCCGAGGTGCGAAGTCCGTAGCCAAACCCTCCTTGACCTGGAGCGACTCGCTGTAACCTTCCCAGCCCATGGTCCCTACTACCAAGAGACCTCCGTCTTCGCCCACTGACCCTCCACACCGTCGGCAGGGCGCGCGATCCACGATCACACAGGAAGCAGGCCAGCCTAGAATGTCGAGACGGTCGAATCTAGAGTGTGTCTACGACAGTTCGGCTTGAAACTCAGCCGCACACCCTAGACCCTAAACCCTAGGCGCTAAACCCTAAACCCTAAACCCTAGCCCTATAGACCTAAAACCCTAAACCCTAAACCCTGGCGTGACTCCAACCCATACCTGCCCGAAATGCTCAAAGCCTTCGGCCCCTCAATTTGAGGATGATTCCGTAAACACTAAACCCTATGCCCTAAACCCTAAACCCTAAACCCCCCAACACCTGTGAAGCAAAGGGGCCCCCCCTTTGCAGGCTACAGCAGCGCCAGCGAGGATGATGCCCTGCTACCAGAGGCTGGGCTTCACACCCTAATCCCATAATAGGGTTTAGGGTTTAGGGCTTAGGGTTTAGGGTTTAGGGCTTAGGGCTTAGGGTTTTTTATTTATTACAAAATCGGCCAGTTTGTAAGGCGTTGGCCAATTAGCAAGGTTTTTTGGTAAACCCTAGACCCTGGACCCTAGACCCTAAACCCTAAACCCTGAACCCTAAACCCTGAACCCTGAACCCTAAACCCTAAACCCTAAACCCTAAGCCCTAAACCCTAAACCCTAAACCCTAAACCGCATTGTTTCACAAGGGTGCCCCCATGCCAGCCACGAAAGGAGAGCGAAGACGCCGAATTCTTGGTGCCCAAGTTTCTGAGCTTGAAGACCCAGATCCGGCCGGGGGGCCCTGCCTCCTTTAGGGTTAGGGTGCAGAGGGCCTTTAAGGTTTAGGGTTTAGTTTTTTGTTTTTTACGTTTCAGGCTTTAGTTTTTTTTTTTTTTTGTGCTGCACGGCTTTGGGTGCTTCACCCCGTGTGGGGGTTAGGATTCCGTACGAGTAGAAGCACTGAGCCTTAATACCGTGAGCCCTAAACCCTAAACCCTAAAGCCCTCCTGAAGCAAGCACCAGTAACGAAGAAAAGCTCTTAAACCCTGAGCCCGTAAAGAAGCTAATGTGCCGAAGATGTTTTTCTGCTGATGGGGTTTTCAAGTCTGTTTTTGTGGGTTTCAAAGGGTCTGCGGGGGTCTATAGGGCGTTAGGGTTGTAGGGTTTGGGGTCGTCAGGGGCTTATAAGGCGTTGGGGTTTGCAGGGTTTTGGGTTCCAGAGGGTTTAGGATTCGTTGTCTTTTTGGAGCTTCGGGGGTTTCGGGCCGTTCTCCTAAACCCTACACCTAAACCCGAAAGCCTAAACCCTAAACCCTAAGCCCCAAAACCATGACCCCCAGCCAGGAAGGACGAGGACTCTCCCATGGCGAGCTTCGATGACATCCCTGCCTTTGGAGTGCAGCTCCCAGTGGGATCAGTGGGCAGTACCTAAACCCTAAACCCTAAACCCTAAACCCTAAACCCGAAACCCTAAACCCGAAACCCTAAACCCTAAACCCTAAACCCTTGAGCCTTGAGCCTTGAGCCTTTAGCAAGAGTTTCGGGTTGACCCGAAGCTTTGCGTTACTCCTGCTGCGGGCCTTGTATCAGCCCAAGCTGCCAAGTCCATTTGGAAGCTCTTTTGACTTAGTAAGTCTACTTAGCATCCCTAGAGACCCTACTGTAGTCACCGTAACCCACCTTACCGCCACGTCAGAAGGGCTTCCAAGTAGAGCATACGGGCTTCCAAGTAGAGCATGCTACGAGCTGCGTGTGGCTTCACTTCCAGAAGCCATCCTGGCAAACAGCGGCATAGCCGTGTTTTCATGTCAAAGACTGGCCCTAAGCACTAAACCCGAAACCAAAAACCCAACTCTAACACGGATGGGTTGAGCTAGCTCTGCACAGCGTGGAAGCAGACGAAACCACACCCCAGGGCGGAAGCGAGTTGGGAGTGCAACAAAGGATGAGCAACTGCTTGCGGTTTAGGGTTTAAGGGTTTATGGGTTTAGGGTTTAGTGGCATTTGTGTTGCATCGAAAGTGTCTTGGAACGTACCCCTAAACCAGTCGACCCGAATCAAAGCCATAAAGGTTCAATCATGTAGCCCCTAAGCCAGAAACTAGCTTGAAAAGTCAGCCCCCCCCCCCCCCCCCCCCCCCCCCCCCCCCCCCGCGCAACGATGCTGAAATTTGGAGAGGCGGGGCCTAGGCAAATCGAACATCAATTGGGAACAAAAACCCCCCCCCCCCCCCCCCACCCCATCCCTTGATGATGGATCATTATCAACCAAGCTCCAAACCGGGGGGGGGTCAGAGTTTAGGGCTCCAACCCCTCAAGCACCTGAATCTCGCTAGCGCTGGAGGCTTCCTTCACCGACGAGGGCCTTCACAAGAAGCGAGCCAACTTCGACATTCCGGAGGACGGTTTGGGGTTTAGGGTTAGGGTTTAGGGTTTCGGGTTTAGGGTTTAGGGTTTAGGGTTTAGGGTTTAGGGTTTAGGGTCCCCTAAACCTTGGAGGCATGAGACCTCTAGGACTTCTGGGCTCGGGGCCTCAATTTACTTGCCCTTTCTTAGTTGTGACTTCACGAATTAGGTACCCTATAGAACCCTTTACAAGGGCGAAATCGGGTAATAGAAGGTGCCCAGTTCCCGAGTTCCTTCCTAAGAACCAGTAAGTTGAAGGTGAGACGAATCCATGTGCCTCAGTTCGGGCGACCCTGCGGCGTGTTTATGACAGGCGGACTGCTTGACTCGGAAGACAAAGCGCAATTCTTAAACTTGACCTGTATGTCCTGTATATATATATATATATACCTCTATACGCAGAACTTGAGTTGCAGTATGATGTTTGGAGGGCTCCAAAAACAGCTGCGGAAGCCCTAGAAGCCCTGAGTCGAAGCAGCCTGCGAGACCGGGCCGGAAGGAGATCGCCGACTTCTTGCCGGAGAAGCTGACGCCCGCCGGATCGGAGGCAGGCAGTGATATGAAGCAGGGTTCATATTTCCGTTACTGGTGAGTGTATATAAGGTTCCTTTTTAAGATTGGTGAGTGTATACCTTGGGTGTCCTTTTGGAGGTACGCTCCCCTTCTGCTTTTTCCAAATGGTGGAAAGCTGTTCTTTCTAGGTGGAAATGTCTCATTGATCATTGGCAAAAGGGCAAGCACTTTGTTCTCCCTTTTGATGTCACTGCTCGGGACGGTTTCTGTATAGCGTGCCACTTGAGATGTCCAAACTTTTCAAAGTTTCTCATCAACTTTCATCGGAGACAATGTGTTCCGCATGCTCTCGTTTCACGTGTTAATGAAGTGCGCTCGGTCCTCTTGATGCTCGTGAAGGACTTGGAGCGGCTTCGTGGTGTGCTTTAGTTTTTCGCTTCTTGCTCGGACAGCTCTTCGGAGACTCCAGAGGTACAAGAAATATAAACCCTGCTTCATATAAGTTTTGGGAATCTAAGGTGTTTAGGGCTTGGGGTTTAGGGTTTAGGGTGCTCCAAAGCCTGGTCCTTGCTTTCGGGCACCCTCTTGCATATACAGCCTCCGCGTTAGAATAGGAACCCCGAAACAGTGCTACAGTCCCAACTCAAACCCCAAAAACCAAAGGGCAGGTTCAAATCCTAAACCCTAAACGCTAAACCCTAAACCCTAAACCCTAAACCCTAAACCCTAAACCCTAAACCCTAAACCCCTAAACCCTAAACCCTAAACTCTAAGCCCTAAACCCTAAACCCTAAACAACCCTAAACCCTAAGCTGAAACCCTCAGCTCTCTCGCCAGGTCAGCTTCAAGCCAATGAAAGAGTTCGGCACCGAAACGCTGGTCTTTGCGGATGGTGAGGACGATGCAGGCACCCCTCCCATTGGTTTTTTGGGGATCCCCGGAAATCGTACTTGGAGGTTCATGGGTACTTGTGACCACAGGTACAAGTCCACTTACAATCTAGTTTGAGGACTTTGGGTGGCTTATACATAGAGTTAGAGTTGGGTATATATATATGTATGTATATATATATATATATTTATTTATTTATTTATGTACCCTGAACCTCCAAGTAGTGCATAATATCTACACAACAACGAAGACTAGAGCCACCAGAGCGCTACTGCGGTGAACACACCTGGCGACCATCTAGAGGCTTGCCCTCAATCCATATGTCGACCTCAACCCTGCACATGCCCCAAACCCTTAACCCTACGTGAAGTATTGACTGTGGGCATACCATTGTTATTGGTGAGTATACGGATGTACACATATTTCTATATGTGCATATATTTCTATATGTTTTTTTGGCATACTGAACAGTTTCTTTAGTGTTGCCCTTTTGGAAATACCAGCAAACGTCTCCCTAGTCTCCTTGTATCCTCCTTTGTCCGAATATTTGTGTGGTCAGGGTCTGCCCCGGACTACATTGACCTCGACCTGGATGTTCGTGACCTGCTTGAAGAGGCACTGTACCTTCCCCAAAACGGGAGCGAGAGAATGAAGGCGAGACAGGCTGAATGTGCGTGTCATCCGAACTTGCGCCTATGAGAGAGTTCCCAGACAAGACCATTCAGCAGGCAAGACCATTCAGCGACTTTCCCGTAGACGAGAGTACGTCAGTCTCATTTGTACATATAGTTACTACTGCATGAGCATTTCCGATATGCTTGGTGCTCTCCACTTGTCGCGGCCGGCACTGTGAGCTCGAGCATGAGCGCCATGTCTGCATTGCGGACGGATCTGCATGACTGGGCCCTGGACCATAGCGAATGCGGTTTAGGGTTTAGGGTACAGGGTTAGGGATTGGGGCTTAGGGGGTGTGCAACGAGTGATGGGGACCCCAAAAGGTCACTTATGTTGACTAACCCCCGAATTTTGCTGATGGAAGGAAGCCGAAACCTGGGGAATGTGCTACCACTGTAAGGCACTGTTTGGTCCGGCTGGTGTTTAGGATTTTTGGCTACGTGATTAGGGCTTAGGGTGCAAGGAAGCAAGACGGTGCCCTCTCACAGGTTCAAACTCAGTCCTGAACTCCGGATGCCTGGGACTGCCCCTCAACCCTCAACCCTCAACCCTCAACCCTCAACCCTCAACCCTCAACCCTCAACCCTCAACCCTAGACCCTAAACCCTCAGCCCTAAACTCTAAACTCTTTAGACGCTACACCCCAAACCTGCAATCCTGAGTCCTAAACCCTGTCAGGGCGAGGAGGAGCCACCAGCCCCGCTGTCGCCCTTGGTCGGAGGCGGTCGGTTGAGGGTTTAGGGTCTAAAGAGTTTAGGCTTTAGGCTTTAGAGTATAGGGTCAGGAGATTGCGGGAACAAGCCCTAAACCTCAAACCCGGCCACCATTCGCCCCAGTCCCTCGTCACAGACGCCCGGATCTCCCAGAACCTCCCAGGGCCTCCAGGGGCCGGGGAGCCCCTCACCCAAGCTCCTGAAAGGTGCTTGGAAGGTTTAGGAGGCCCCTGAACGACTGTTGGCGCTGCTGTTGACCAACTCGACTCTGCAAGCGTTTCAAGTGCTCCAGGGCTCCTGGGTGACCCCAAAATGACCAAGAGGCCCCAAAGTGACTCACGCGATCTTTTAGGCTCCAAGCAACCCGTGGCACAAGCTTTTAGGTGGCGTTCAAGTGCTCCGGAGTATTCCATGTGAGCCAAGTGCCCAAGTGACACAAGTGTTCCAAGTGTCTTGCGACTTGCACCGCAAAGTGACCCAAGTGCCTACGTGACCCAAGCGACGGTCCCTGCGGCATGCCCCTGGAAGTGGCCCAAGTGTTCCAAGTGATGCAGGCAACCTAAGTGTCCCAAGCGACCGAGTGAATGAAGCGCCCCCCTACCCCCCCCCACCCCCTCCCAGTGTCAGTGTCCCCAAGTGCTCCAAGCGACCTAAAGTGAGGTCGAGGGACCCAAAGTGTGCTCCAAGTGCTCCCCAGTGTTCTAAGTGATCCAAGTGTTCAAGTGGCCTACGATATGTTCCAGCGTAAGGCGATGGTGCGACACCCTGAATGAGCTTAAAGCACTAAACCTGAAACGCATAACGCTTAACAGCCCCTACTCCGCACTTGAATTCCCCCACCCTTCTCACGGCCACCGCATGCAGGTATCTGCCTAAACCGTTGCTCAACCCGCAAACCCCTATCCCAATAAATCCATGAACCCCAAATCCCCAAACCTCCCAAAAACACGGCCTTAACCCTTAACCTCAAAATCCATGCCCGAAAAGGCCCGAAAATTCCAAACCCGAACCCCAAACCCTGAATTCTATACCAAACCCTAAACCTTGCACCCTTCATTCCTTTACCCTAGCTAGAATCCCCATTTCTGAACCTGGAGAGCCCTGGAAATACCGACCTCTCGCCTCCCTCAGGCCTGATGCTCTGCCCCTCCAGCTTCCCAGCCCGAAGCCACAAGATGAAATTTGAACACCCTGAGGTCAAGAGCACCCCCGCCTCCCCTTATGTAATGTTTCGGGGTTAGGGTTTTAGGGTTTAGGGTGTCAAAGTACCTCCGGCCCCTCCTCTTGGCAGGAACGCCGACGCTGTCAATACACAGTCGGGCACTCAGCAGAATCTCCACGTAGTCCAATACACCACCATGGTCCGACAGGAGGCTGTTCAATCCCATGACCCGACATTGGGAAAGAGGCAGTCGCCTTGTGACACCCTTGGGCGAGGAAGGAGAGGCCACGACTCCTAGTTGTTGACCTGGATCTGGAATCGACTATCCTTAGCGAACGTGCACCCGTTCTTTGGCCCCTTGCCCTAGCAGCGCTTCTAACATAGGCGTCGGAATAATTACTAGAAATACTCCCTTATGGTCCCTGTATAATTATACTATAATAACTCCCAAAACCCTGTTCTAGTCATGAAGGCTCCTGCAGTAGCACTTGAAGAAGGGTCGTGCGCGTTTGGCTAGCAACCACCTGAGCGGTCAATGCCAGAATGAGTTCCGCGTCTGGAGGCCTTGCCGGCGAGGAAGATGGAGATCCATGATCCATATGCCTCATGCAAAGTGATGCACCCGTCTCACAGATCTGCTACCCTTTACGGCACGGAAAGAATCTCATGAGGCAGCAACCATTCGGCCAGTGACCGGGACTTCCTACACATCCGATCCCTAGGCCCTTCAGAGACTGAAGTTTGGAGACTCGATGCTCCTCAGCGCGCAAGCCGAACACCCCTCAAGTTGTTCTATCGCGGCACAGTGCCGGCATCGAATTGCGGAATCCAAGGCTCCAGTGCGAGGTTCGTCCCCATGGGATCCATGGCGAGCGGCACGGTGGTCCTGGAGGCAGGTAGGGTTTCGGGGTTTCGGGTTTAGCCCCCTTGGGATTTTTCGCTTGATAGCTATGGCTTCATAGGGCCATCTGTGGGGGTTCAGTGGCTTACTAACCAGGTTGTAGCGAGGTTGTCTATTGTGAGGGTTGCAGGTACCCTGACAAGGCCCAACACAAAAAGAGAACCCGAAAATGGATTGGAATGGAATTGAGAGTTCGCCTGAAGATCCCCTTGGCCTTTGGAGTCCCCCTCCTAGGATCCATACGATTACTTGCACCCCAAAAGGACGCCAGCTATATACACTCACCAACGATTGTGATAATTAAGGTTGATAAGGAGCCCCATATACACTCAGCAATAACAGTGATATAAACCCTGTTTCATACATATGCTTTTGTGTACTCCGAATTAGGATCAAGGCTCACTTTTGGCCGCCCCCTATCGACGTCCCTTGTGACCGGATTTACCCTAAACCCTAAACCCGAAACTCGAAACCCTAAACCTCCCTAAACCCTGAAAGCAGTCTTAGTTGCAGCTTCTTGCAAGCCAGGGCGAGGATCGAGCTTCTGAGGAAGTGCGCGACGTGATCGGTCTAGACGATCCCGGAAGTGAAGCAGCAACGCGTGGTGGTTCTACTCCAGGGTGCTCATGTGGAGTCTTAAGGAAGAGCAAGAGTGGTTCAGGGTTTAGGTAGGGTTCACGGTTTAGGGCCAGGGGTTTAGGGTTTAGGGTTTAGGGTTTGCGGTTTGAGGTTTGGGGTTTAGGGTTTTGCTGAGGAAGATACAAAAATGTCTGGGTGATGCCTTACTCAGTTTCTTCCCAAATGGCTTCGTCAACTGGCAGCTCCCTGAGAAAACCCTCAACCCTAAGCCCTAAGCCCTAAACCCTAAACCCTAAACCCTAAACCCTAAACCCTAAACCCTAAACCCTAAACCCCACACTACAAGCCCGAAGCATGAAGCCGCGAGTCCAGGTAAACCTTGGTCTCATCAGGTCACCGATGGGCTCGCGCCGCTGACACGAAAGCCCCAACCTTAAAGCAACAGAGGGTTTCGGGTTTAGGGTTTAGGGTTTAGGGTTTAGGGTGTAGGGCTTAGGATTTAGGGTATAGGGTTTAGGGCTTTAAAGCTCTTAACTTTGCATGGCGCCATGGTGCCCGCAAATCCGCCGCGAACGGCCCTAAACCTTATAGAAGCCAGGCCCTTGGATGATTGGGGTTTAAGAGGATCATATTTTCAGGAGTATTTTTCCAACCGTGGCCCTGCTCTGCCCTGCTGTCTGTGCGGATCGGCTCAAAAGCTTTGTGGGACGGCGCCCGTTTTGGTTGCATTCGCCCAGGCGCGGCAGCTTGCTCTGCGCGCGCTCGCGGCCGACTTCCCGAATCCCAAGCCCTAAGCCCCAAGTAGCCCGTTGTTGCTTGCTGGTTCCTGCGGGGGGAGTGGATTATTTCTTCGCCCCCTACTGCCCCTGAACCGGAAAGCCTAAACCCTAAACCCTAACAAGTAAGGCTGGCGTTCGGGACTGGGCGCTTGGAGTGTCTCGTGCTCAGGGTAGCTCCAACTTTGGCTAGCTCTGGGCATTTGAGGGTTAGGGTTTATGGTTTGGGGTTTAAGGTTTAGGGTCCCTAAGCCCTAAACCCTAACCCCTAAGCCCTAAACCCTGATAGGGTTTAGTTGGGTTTGGGGTTTCCACTCCCGGGATCAGGACTGCTTGAGGGCAGTCTGCTTCTGGGACTACAGGAGGCCAAACCTTGTATAAGCGGTCTCGACACCCGAAGCCCGAAACCCAAAAACCTAACCCCCAGCTCAAGCAACCGATATGGCTTGGGATGTTCCCCCTTATACTAACAGTCCTTTAATAGGGATAGGATTCCCTTTTATACCGGGACTCCTATCCCATGGTCCTTCCCTTAACGGGCCTTAACGGACTATTTGCTTAAGAATCCCCCCCCAAGAAATGCAGAACAATCATCCCTATATTACCCTTATAAGGAAGAATGTTTTTTGGGGGGGTTCTTATGCATTCGTAGTAAGGGACCTGTAGAACACCACACCTTTCAAGGGACTCCTATCTTATGGCATATGGTAGGGACCTTAAGGGACCTGTAGAACACCTCCCCTCCCCCCCCCTCCCCCCGCGGGTTTCTTTGCCAAGTCATCTCGCAGGATCCCCCTCGCCATCCTGTCAAACCTGAGTCCAGGGTTTGGGGTTTAGGGTTTGGGGTTTAGGGTTTGGGGTTTGGGGTTTAGGATTCGGGGTTTAGGGTTTAG